CATTTGGACACAGCCAATCACAGCACCGTGTGATTAGAGACATTTGTAGGGTCCCTTGGAACAGCGACTTGTGATTGGACTGTGTCCAATTGCCCCGTGTCCAACTGATATACACCCACGGCGCAGTCTATTATATATGTCTATGCTAAAGACCATCACACACAAAATTCCGTAAGAATTTAAAACGTAAGCGTAAAGAAATCGACCAATCCCAATCGAGCACTCGGCTCTTCATAACCCCTCCATTATTACGATGAGCCGAATACTCGATTGGGATTGGTCGATTTCCTTACGCTTACGATTTAAGTTCTTACGGAATTTTGTGTGTAATGGCCTTAACGCCGTCATTGGAAACTTACGTCGAGCTGTACGTCATTTCACGCATGCGCATGTCATCTAGAAAATATCGCGAACTCCCAGCACTGCGCAAAGGTCCGAAGTTTGGTTATAACTTTTGATCATAAGAGAATAAGCTTATGTAGTTTATTGATTACAATTATAAAATACAAATAAACACAATAAATTGTTATTATTGTTGACAAGTAGCAAGATACTTGTAGATATGGACATGAAGATTGCCTTAACTTCTATTGTGAAGTCCTTTTTAGAACCGCTTTCTTATATTTATGAAGACGAAGACGAAGGCGTTTTAGAATTGTTATTGGAGTATGCAAACAATATTCCCGAGATAGACGATCATCGTCGACGAATTCCTAAAGCTAATGATTACGTTGAACATATAGTACCAACGCTTAGTAGTATACAATTCCAATATAGTTTTCGGTATGTGTTACATTGTGTGACTTATCAATTATTTGTGTACAAACTTATAAGTTTAGTATTCATAATTCGTTGCATTTAACTCTTGTTTACTTGCTTGATTATTTAGAATGCTCCCTTCAACATTTGAGTATATTTTAAGACAGCTTGGAGAGAAACTAAGTCGGAGTATACATGGAAATGAAATGTTAGCTCCAGATAAACAACTTCTGCTAAGTTTATGGCGTTTTGCTACTACAGATCCATACTCGTAAGAATAATAGATATTTTTCTTAAAATGCTAAACTTCAATACAATTTGTGTGCTGCAATATTTTTCTTTCAGCTCAATAACTGAACGATTTAATGTAGGTCAAGCTACAGCTATAAGAGCTGTGCGTCGTGTAAGCAAAGCAATATGCGAGCTTTCACCAAAGTACATAGTATGGCCCACAAAGAATAAAGTATCAGAAATTGTGGATGGCTTTTCTCAGATGGGTGGTTTTCCTGACGTCATTGGAGCTATAGATAGTATTTTTGTTAATATTCCTGCACCTAAGACTAATGCACAAGCTTTTGTAAATAGGAAAGGTCGTTATTCAATCCATCTTCAGGTATTTACAATATTACATATATTACATGCGATTTGTTGTATTATTAAAAATTTGCCTAATATTAATTATTATTAATATCATTTAAAATAGCTTGAATAAATAATAACTTATAAGTAATTAATAATTATATATTACATTTTTTATAGGGTGTTTGTGATCACAAAGGACACTTCACAAATATTAATGTTGGAAATACAGGTTCATTATCTGATGAATATGCTTTTCGCTTGTCTGTTCTTCAAGAATATATTAATGATCCAGATAAATTTCCCAATAATACACATATAATTGGAGATGCAAATTATAAGCTGCATAAATATCTTATGACTCCGTATTTTAATAACGGGCGACTCACAAAACGCAAAAAAAACTACAATTCTTGCCATTCTGCTAGTAGGAATATAATCAAAAAAGCATTTGCCTATTTAACATATCGCTGGGGAAGTATCAAACATGGCGTAGCGATAACTCAGATAGATTACGTATCTTGCCACATACTAGCATGCTGTGTGTTACACAATATTTGTTTATTGAAGAAAGATGAACTGGAAGAACTGAAGCATGAGAGACTGGAAATACAAGACGAAGAAGTTACTGTAGAAATAGATTTGTCAAATGAAGATCAAAATGATGACATAGAAGTTGCAAAAGCTAAAAGAGATTTAATATGTAATGACTTATACATGAAAAAATTTTACGTAAAAACATTATTGAATGAACAATAATAATAACTGATAAATTGTTATTGATCAGTATTTTTATAATTTCGAGTTAAATTGCAAAGTTACAGAGTTAACTTAAATTATGAAGTATTGTTAGTATCCCAGAATAATTCTCAGTGATTATAACAACAACCTCTGATCTAGCACTGAGCTGCCGTGACAAATTATTGGCGTGAATATTATTATAATAGGCATTTTAATAAAAATTATAGCATAATAAGTATAGATATTTATTATTTTAAATTTTAATTTTATAGTCAAATGTCCAGTAAAATAAGCAATAACTTTCATAGTAATAAAATATTGCCGTAAATTTTATAGCATCACAACTTGATTTATATACTGATTTATATACAGACATCCCCTTAGAAACGCAAAAAAGAAGTAAGACTGAGAGAGGGAGAAAAAGCGAAAACGATAAAAAAATAATTGCCAGATTTTTTTACAAAAAGATCAATACGCCACATTTTATATATATAGCAATCGTATGATGGCAATCACGAGCAAACGAATATTGTAGTAAAATGTTTTATATAATTAATTTCGAGTATTATATTACAAAATATAATATGTTCATTCAAGAAATATACAATATTTACATATATAAAGTTGTAAATTATAAGATAATTGATATGATAATTTGTAAGTTAAAAATAAGAATAGCAGAGTATAAAAAATTGTTAAATAAAAAAGTTAAATAAAAAAATTGTTGAAGCGGAGAAAAATATATCTAAAAATGTTGATTTTTAAAATTAATATTTAAGGAAATGAGTAAAAAAATTATTCAATGCGCATGCGAAAAGAGGACTTATTTGACAACACTGATTGGATACAATACAAATTTTAGTACACTCTGATTCCGCTTTAAACTTCGTTTTATTGGCATTGCAATCGCCTTCAAAATTATATACATAGTGCCTTGAATTGACGAAATTCAAATAACATTTGGCGCGAGTGAATCCTTTCGCAAGTGTTAATTCAGAATAGAATTAATCGTAAAATAAGCGTCACGCTTCATTGCATAAGAAGATTATTGTGCAAAGTGCAAAATAGCGATCCGAAAGATGTCTAAGAACAAAGATCAGTATGTCAATGTCTTCGTGCGTGTCAAGTAAGTTAATCGGCAAAGATCCGCTAATATGAATATTAAGTAGACAGTTTATATGAAAACTAATTATCTCTCTTTTTCTCATAAGAGATTTAAAATTTATTATAATTTATTATGAGAAAACTGAATATGCAAATTGAGACAAAACCCTTATTTCTTTTTATATAATAGGTATTATTTATTAACTTAAGTTATTCGAATCCATTGTTCTCGTTACGGAGAAGTAGTTATGTTTAGTGTATAAAGGTTACACTATTACTTTCGGTCCCCTTTTGCTGTTGTTATCATTCTGTCTGTCATAAATATGTTTTGATTACTGTTTGTACAAATAAGACAACCAGACGTCCCGTTTTTCCTGGGACAATCCCAAATTTTTTGAATGCTATTTGGGACATTGATTTGTCTCGAATTCGATCAAGCTACTTCGGTTTAAAGAATTTTTTTTAATTTCTCTGACAAAAAAGATTTCAAAAAAATTTACAGTTCTAGTAAATACAGTAACTTTGCTTCATATTAATTTTAAGTAAGAATAACAATAATTTTATCTGAACAATAGTTTCTATTTTTACTATAAACCCAGCAAGTCTTCAATGTTATTAACATATATAATATTTATAATGTTATAAACATGTTATAAACATATAATGTCTAGATGTCTCAATGTTTCGGCCCTTAATCAGACTCTTCTCAATGAATTAATAATCTAATATAAAGTCATTTTACATTATCGCAATAAGTCGCAGATATAATTCGTCAGATAAACAATCAAAATTGAAAGTCAAACGAGGAGACAGTTCGACCACAATAAGCAATTCGTTAGGAACGCAACGCAACAACATAATCATTCTTCGAGATAAACAGAAGAAAAGAAATTTGAAAATTTACCACTGACTATAAACTCCTAAATCAAATGATACCGCTGAGAGGCTATTTGCGTTAATTGAATGGTACATTAAAAAGTTATTAAAAGATTTATAGCCATCAAAAGACGAATAGTGAATAGCCCTTGCTGGTGGATGAAAAAACGACTTCTTTAATATACTATCTAATGGATACAAACAGCTTCTCAACGGTACCATCTGATTTCGGGATTTAAAAAAAATAAATTTTCGAATTTCTTTTCTTCTATTTATTTAAAACAATAATTATGTCGTTGCACTGCATTTCCTAACGACGCTGCTATTGTGGTTGAACTGCCTTCTCACTTGATTTTCAATTTTGGTTTTGTTAATTATCGGGTAATTTCTCTTAGTGTACATTAAAAATACATAAGTATGATAAAAATAATTACCTCAGACAGCACAATGCCCAAAACTGGGACATAAGATGTCTTTAAGACATCTTTAAAACGACTTAAAGACGTCTTATCCCTGATAAAAAAAGTTGATAGAGAACGATTGAGAACGATAGAATTTCTATAAATTTATATTGTTTTCTATAAGCTTTATCGTTCGCAAGCGTTAGTATTCGCGAGCATCAGATATAAATTCTACCGTATTTTATCTGGTTCTATAAGAATCGGGTTCTATTCATATTATATAGGAAACTGATGATAGAAATTCTATCACTATTTATTGTTTTCTATTGTATACGATAGAATACTATTCAAATTTGTGAATTCACGAACCAAAATCCATATTCAAAACGATAGAAAATGATAGAATGATAGAATTTTATTCTATTGTTCTCTATAAACTTTTTTTAGGGATGTCCTGACGTCTTAAAGACGGCTTAAAGACGTCTTAAAGATGTCTTATGTCCAAGTTTTGGACATGTCTGGGATGTGATAATAGTGGGATATAATTATGTATACCCAACAGAATGTTTTTTCTCATTTGACTGTTTCTCTGAAACAATAGGCCTTTAAGCAAAAAAGAGACACCAGAGAAAAATCGTGAGAAACTGGTAATTCCGATAGTGCACGCAGCATCCGAGAAAGAGATAATAGTGTATGAGCGATCGCAGGGTAAAGTCGCGAAGAAGTTCACGTTCGACAAGGTGTTCGGTCCTACGTCGACTCAGTTAGACGTGTACAACGCGGTGATTCGACCACTGTTGAAGGAAGTACTAGCCGGATATAGTTGCACCGTGTTCGCCTACGGTCAAACCGGCACCGGTAAGACATACACGATGGAGGGCAGTCGCGTAGAGAATTCCAGCTTACACTGGCAGAGCGACACATCTGTCGGCATGATACCCCGTTGCTTGAGCCACTTGTTCGACGAGCTCCAGTTGCTGGAAAACCAGCAGTACGTCGTCAAGATCAATTTCCTGGAATTGTACAACGAGGAGTTGTTCGATCTTTTGAGTCCGAACGGTCACGATACAACGAAGATCAAGCTGTACGACGACATGTCGAAGAAGGGCTCGGTCATCATACACGGTTTGGAGGAGGTGACCGTCCGTAACAAGAATGAGGTCTACAAAATCCTCGAAAAGGGCTCGGAGAGAAGGCAAACGGCGGCAACGTTGATGAACTCCAACTCGAGTCGCTCCCACACGGTCTTTTCTATAACTATACACATGAAGGAGGACACCTTGGAGGGAGAGGAGCTACTGAAGACGGCGAAGTTAAATCTGGTGGACCTGGCCGGCAGCGAAAACGTCGGCAAATCCGGAGCCGTTGACAAGAGAGCGAGGGAGACTCGGAACATCAATCAGTCCCTGCTGACTCTCGGCAGAGTGATAACCGCTCTCGTAGAAAGGGCGCCTCACATACCGTATCGGGAGTCGAAGCTCACGAGATTGTTGCAGGAGTCGTTAGGTGGGCGCACAAAGACCTCGATAATCGCGACCATTTCGTCCGCGAGCAGCAGTGTCGACGAGACACTATCGACGTTAGATTATGCGCATCGAGCGAAACATATCGCCAATCGTCCGGAGATCAATCAGAGGCTTTTCAAGAGAGCACTGCTGAAAGAATATACGGAAGAAGTCGAGAGGCTTAGAAAGGACTTGATGGCAACGCGAGATAAGAATGGCATCTATCTGTCGCAGGACAAATACGATTCCATGCATGCGTTGATCGATTGGCAGAAGAAAAAGATACAAGATCAGATCAATGATCTTAAAACTTTGGAAGAAAGTATGGAGAACAAGCAGGTACGCAGATCTGAAGTTTCGAGATCATAATTTCTAAAAATATTCAGGTATAAAAAAATATAAAAAGATAATACATAAAAATATTTCTTGTATCTCAAATAAAATGCTTTTTCTGTACCTTTCATGTATAAAAAAAATACTTTACAGAGGTAGAAAAATATCTGTTTAGAATAAAACTAGATGACTTAATAATATATAAAAAAATATATATATATATTTATTAAGTTTAATAAATTCTATCTATTAATAGAAATATAAATAGATTTTATAATATATATATATATTAATATATATTAATTATTATAGATAGATAATAGATATATTAATAGATAATTATGTAATTTTAATGAATGTTATGTATTAAATTATGTAACTGTGTGTTTAAAAATAATTTGTTTTTTTTAATTGTACAAATTAATAGATAGAATATAATAAATCTAGAGACAAATAAATAATATTATTCATTTCTCTATAAGATTTCTCTCCATTCCTGGGATAGAAAATCTCCGAGACATACTTTCACAAAATATGCGAGTTTTCAAAATATAATCGTTTTATTTTATTTTGAAAATCTGAAATTTCTTATCGCGATATAATTGAGAACATTGAAAATAGTTTATTGCTATATTTATTGTGCTTTTATTGTATAGAAAATGTTTAGTGACATACGATTACAATATGATGTTCGAATGAACGAGCTGACCAAGAAAACAAGCGAATTGAATAACCTAACACATTCTTTGCAATTGCTGGAAAATTCTTTGATGGAAATGGAAAATAGTAGGGACGAACAAAAACATCTTGTGGAAATGTATACCGCAACTGAGAAAACTTTACGCAGTCAAGCGGAAACTCTCTTAAACGTTGTAAACGAAGCATCTGAGGATACAGAAAAATTACATGACAAACTTGATTATAAAACGTAAGTAGATTTTGAAGAATAACAATAAAAACAAAAATTTTTAGAAAGCTCTAAGATAAAAATCATTTAAAATATCTTGCGAAATATCTTAAGCCATTAAGAACTGTACACAGGTTTTTTAGTGCAATTAACAGAGATTAATATATTGTTACGTCCTGCACGGACGTGAATCATACGACTTATCTTTCCTTCCTCCTGTCGACACCCGACAAACAGTTCCAAATCGTAATCGGTTTTCCCGTCTTTTCCAATAAAAATTCCAACGATAATTTCAGATAACCCTGGGAAATACGGAACCAAAAATCTCCTAATCCTCAAAGCATATTCCGCCGGACCTTATCCATAAAATCAAAAAAAGCTAGCGGACAACAAACAAAAATATCCTAAAAGTTCCGTTATACTTTCCAACTTGCATCATCCTCTCCCGCCCTATCCAAAGATTCCCTCACTATCCTAAAATCATTTTAAATCACTTTATTTAAACGTACAATTTTCTCCACCCACAATCTCAGCCAAAGAAATCTTAACTCTATCTCCTCACTTATTACTGGCTGCAACATTACCCCCTCCTTTAATGAATCCAATCTACTAACGAATACACCTAGTATCCCCGAAATTTCACATTTTTCCTACCAAACCATCTCCAGCTGATACTCTATAAAACCGCGACCCCGCGCTGTGGGGGTTTACTACTTCTCTTACTACCTACTTTTTTTCTTACTATTCTTCTCTTACTCTTCGACTTCTTATCCGTCACTTACTTGGCACCGAACACTGTCACATACATTCGAGTATTCATATTCATATACATGATTTTTGCCACGTAATATATTTCTTTCTTTCCTCCGCGCAAATTTCTCTATATTTTCCCGAGTCTTGTGGGAATATATACTACATATATATTATAAATCAAACATTTCGGTTCCATTCGGGCTCTTTTCAGTGGTAATACAGAAATTATATGAACATTTGTGCATATACAAATGGAACGAAAACAGTAAGCTAATAAGTCAATAATAGTTTAAATAATCAAAGTTAATATTTTATATCACCGACCACACCAGACAAATTAAGATCAAATGTCTAGTGTGATCGATGACATAAAATATTGACTTTGATTATTTAAATAATTATTGACTTGTTAGCTTATTGTTTTCGTTCCATTTGTATATGTACAAATGTTCATATAATTTCTATTACCACTCAAGAAGATTCGAATAGAACCGAAACGTTTGGTTTATAATATTCTAATCTTTGATAATTGCATTAAAAAACTTGTACACAGGGTCTTAATGGCTCATTAAGATATTTTAAATAACAATAAAATTAGAATTAGTATTCTACAAACATATTTAACTATTACTCTGTGCTAAATTTAATATTACTGAAATTTGTTGATTAAAATTCACTAACAAAATTAATATGTGCCAATACAGAAAAATGGAGGAAAAAAATACAGATCTTAGGTTGCAATTGAATAGTGATTTTACAAAAAGCGGTAAGGATATCGAAGACAATCTGGCGAATCACACGAAAGAGATTGGCCAATTTTTCTCGTCAATAAAGGATGAAGTGGGTAAGAAAATTCGTTTGTGATTAACTTTCGACAGATGCTACATATAACAGAAAACTTTATATTGATTGATACATTAATATATTCCTGATAGAAAGTTATTTATCTACGCAAGTTAAAAATATAAAGGAATTGGTCCCTTACATGTTGAAAGATTTAGTTACTCATCGCTTAAATATGAATGAACAATTAACAAAGGATATAGAAACTACGGTAAATTATTAATTGCACTTAGCATAATAAGATTTTAATCAATGCTACTCATAATTCACATCTGATTGTTTCATATATGTTTAGTATGCGGGCTATGACAACATAGTAGATAGTAACATCGAATATACATCGGATATGATCGAGTACGAGAAAAAATTATTAACTGCTATTTGTTCAAAAGTGGCACCAACTGTTCATAATCTCTTAAAAGACAATGGAAGTTTCGCACAGAATTTACAGACCTTAAATAATGATATTTCTCGGAAATTGGAGGATATGTCGACATATGTAGAAGACGTCGTAGAAACTATATGTAAATATCGTCTTAAGGAATATAATAGTCTCCGTGAAAATATAAATGAAATTAAAGAACATATTAATTGTATGTTTTTAAATCATAAACAGATAATTAAAGATTACAAATTGTCTTCAAAGGTATACTATGTCTTTCATTTTTTATAACATATTTTTAAACATTTCTTATAGTTAACTCTTTATATAATTATCAATGTAGCATATTACATTACATGTATTTGTTTCTATAGAAAATGATAGATCTTTCACATGATTTTATGCATTTGGATAAATGTGTAAAAGGTTATTCCGAAAATGTTGATAGATCCTATCAAATTGATAAAATTTGCAGTAATATATGTGATCAAAATGTACAAAATTATAATACAGATATAAATGGACAAAATGACTTACAGAAATTTTTACAAAGTAATATATCACAAATTAAAAGTAACATCGATAGTAATCTTAAGAAGGTAACGTAATTTATCATATAAAATATGTCTATAAAATATTTAAAATAATACTGATCTAATAAATATATCTAATCACTACCTACCCTATTGAAAAATTTCTATTGAGATCACAATTGAATTCCCAATTAAATTCTCAGTTGAATTCTCAGTCGAGGTTTCCGCAAAATTTCGCATGTAAGATCTCAATTGAGATATTTATATCTGATAGAAATAATTTATTAAAAATATAATGAACTTTTGTTGAAATGCGTTTGAAAAACATTCACAATTTTGATCCAATTTCATTATGATTTCATTAATATTTCAGTAATATTTCAGTAAAAATGTAGAAAAATTTAGTGAAAAATCATTATTAATTAAAACAGATTGAGAAAAGTATAATGAAATATTATTTTGTCTAAATAATAAAAAGAAACTGTCATTCGTTTCATTTATTCGTAAAATTCGCGTGGATTCGATCCAGTGTCACACCGGTTATCCACCTTTAGACGACCTGCTGTTCAAATGCCTAACCTCAACGATCGTACGGGAACTGGTGATGGCAATGCGTTGTAACGATATCGTGGTGGATTGTATTTACAATATACTTTTATAGTGTTTAAAAATTAATGATATATTAATGATATATTTGATAATGATATATTAATGATATATAATGATGATTAATGATATATTTGTTGGTAAATGTTTCAAAAGATGTAACTACAATCACAATGCGATTAATATTGAAACAATGTTGTATAACTAAAACTTAAATTTAAACATACAACGTGCTCACAAAAGAGAAAAAGAAGGAATATTCTCATACAAGTTCCCGTACGATCGTTGAGGTTAGACATTTGAATAGCTGGTCGTCTAAAGATGGGTGACCATGTGACACTGGATTGAATCCATACGAATCTTACGAATAAATGAAACGACACAAAATATGAAATGACAGTTTCTTTTTATTATTTAGACAAAATAATACTTCATTATACTTTTCTCAATCTATTTTAATTGATAATCATTTTTCACTGAATTTTTCTACATTTTTACTGAAATATTATTGAAATATTAATGAAATTATAATGAAATTGGGTCAAAATTGTGAATGCTTTTTAAGCGCATTTCAGCAAAAGTTTATTAAATTTTCAATAAATTATTTCCATCAGATACAAATATCTCAATTGAGATCTTACATGCAAAATTTTGCGGAAACCTCGATTAAGAATTCAATTGAGAATTCAACTGAGAATTCAATTGGGAATTCAATTGTGATCTCAATAGAAATTTTTCAGTAGGGTAGATAGCACAGAGAATTCAAAAAGAATTCTGTCGTATGTCACCAATTTTTAGTTCATTTTTAGATGCAGAAAGAATTCTTTTCACTGAATTGAACTCTAGAGAATTCTTTTTGAATCTGAAAATGAACTCAGAATTGGTGATATACGATTGAATTCTTTTTGAATTCCTTTTGAATTCTCTGAGCTATCTAGGTCTACTCCAACTGTGAAAACAGAAATTATTTCTCATGATTAACTGATAAAATATTGCTTGTTTTATTGAAATAGGCACAATTATCTGATAAAATTGTTATGAAAAAAGGAAGTAATTTCGTTAGAAGCACATCGCTAGATTTACAAAATGGTCGTGAAATGTGGGAGGACTATAACAATAAAATAAAATGTAATATACAAAAATTACAAAAGGAAATAACTGAAGATAAAAATAGAGCAAGTACCACAACTAATGTATGTACAACAGTAGATATACAATAAATTTGAGTTTTCAAACTACTCTACTACTGATACAATTTTTATGATATTATATGTTTTTATAGACGATCTCTAAAATGATTGATGATGTAAATTTTACTCACAATGAATTTATGACAAAGCAACATTCCAATATGTCAGATTTCTCTACAATAATGGACAATAAATTAACAACACAAAATGCAGAATTGATCAATTGGAATGATAAGTCAGTCAAAGAATTGCGCGCATCTCAACAGCAAATCGATGAATTCTTTACCAAAAACTTATGTCACTACGTTGAAACAGGTTTATTTTATTTATCACTTTAGTCTGGCAAAATAAGTATATATGAATATACACAATAATAATATCAGGGTATTTCTGTTTTTCTTTCATAACGAAAAGGTGCAACTCCACCGAGAAAAAAATTTGTGTATCCTCGTGAATTTGCAACAACATTGTCGCATGAACAACTTGTTCAGAGATTCCGAGAAAGCAGAAATTGCATAGAAGAAGCAAATGATTTCGTAAGAAATTTCAACATATCCTAATCGAGAAATAAAATTCTATAAAAATATATAGAAATGAATGTCTATATCCTGTAGGATTCAACATTAATGAGAAAACCAGAAAAACTTACACCAGAGAAACTTATACCAGCGAAACCTACACCAGAGAAACTGTTATCTGTGATAGATATACCAACAAATAACACAACCACATTATACAAAAATAATAATTACTCTTTGCTATTCTCTGCGTCCACACCGCATATTAATTCAAATAACAGACAATCAAATATAAAAGAGATTTTTGGTTTTAATTCTTTCAAGAAATCTGTATTGGATTTCTCCAAAATTTCATCTTCTCAATTTGAAACGGAAATTTGTACAGAGGTATATTTATTATTTGCATGTAAATATTAAAATAAATTTTATCTTGATACTTATTTTATACGACCACACATATACATATAATATTAAAACTGATCTTTCCTCAGAGAGAAATTATATGAAAAAGATAATATAAAAGTACTATTAGTCCCTTATAGAAATATCATACTAAGAATCATTGATAATTACTTATTTTCAGTATTAAAAATACTGGATAATAAGTAATTATCAATGATTCTTAGTATGATATTTCTATAAGGAGTGTGCTCTACTATATTTTGTCGTGATTTAATAATAAGACAAATTTCTTCTAGAATAAAGAGAATATCAACTTTACGAAGTCTAGAAAATCAAAGAAACTGAAAGTGAAGAAATAATTCATTGGGAGAAAAAGAAAACGCTAGAGTGATTTGAAAAATATAATTAATTACTATATTAAATGTAACTACAGATTTTATTTTCATTTTGGACGTAGTCAAGTTATAATTCCTGGACTAGAGAAACTTCCTCCATCATTTATATATACTTATATAATTATGTAGATATATAATATATAAAAATATTATATAATATCTAGACATATTATATAATGATATATAAAGAAATGTAAATAAATTTATGTTTATGTAAAGAAATAAAAGACTTTCATATATTTCAGAACTGTATTTCTATACAATTATTTTATTATTGTCTTTATAACAAAGTTTCTCATGCAAAAACAGAACAGTGTGCAATTGCTGTAAAATAAAAATTTTTGTAGTGACTTGTGAAGTATCCTGATAGCAAAATGTTAGCAATATGCCGACAAAGTGCCGGCAAAATCAATCATAGGATTGCAGCAAATTTGCAGCATGTATACTATCATTATGCTGGCATTATGTCGACAAAGCATGCTGAAATTACTTGAGGGCAGAGTGCTAGTAAAAACCGAACAAGACGTGCCGAGCAACGTATGACGACAAATTTGTAGCAAACAGCGAGCAAAACGTACCGAGCAACGCCCCAGATAACCAAGCGTAATTTAGCATATCAAGCAAACGAATGCATTGCATGTTTTGCTGAATAGTTGATATTTAGTTGCCATCATCGTAAACGATGTGTTACCAAATTCAGCAACATAAATTTGTATGTACTTGACCGGAAAAAAAACTCCGTTGGAAAACTATTCTTTTAAATCGTTTGTATTTCGTATGAAGAGTTTTGAGTGCAATTGAAAAGATTTGTGAGTCATTCTATTACTTGTAATTAATTGTTCTTTTTTGGACCATGTATTTAGCCGGAAATAATGACCGGAAGTAAATTAAACAAAAGTTCGATATGATATCGTTTGTATTTCGTATAAAGAGTTATGAAGTATCATTAAAAAGGTTTGTGAGTCATACAAATAATTTTAATTAAATATTAAAAAATCATATATTTGGCCGAAATATCGATCTCAAGCGCACAGAAGTATACAGAAGTATCATTAAAAAGGTTTGTGAGTCATACAAATAATTTTAATTAAATATTAAAAAATCATATATTTGGCCGAAATATCGATCTCAAGCGCACAGAAGTATACAGAAGTATCATTAAAAAGGTTTGTGAGTCATACAAATAATTTTAATTAAATATTAAAAAATCATATATTTGGCCGAAATATCGATCTCAAGCGCACAGAAGTATACAGAAGTATCATTAAAAAGGTTTGTGAGTCATACAAATAATTTTAATTAAATATTAAAAAATCATATATTTGGCCGAAATATCGATCTCAAGCGCACAGAAGTATACAGAAGTATCATTAAAAAGGTTTGTGAGTCATACAAATAATTTTAATTAAATATTAAAAAATCATATATTTGGCCGAAATATCGATCTCAAGCGCACAGAAGTATACAGAAGTATCATTAAAAAGGTTTGTGAGTCATACAAATAATTTTAATTAAATATTAAAAAATCATATATTTGGCCGAAATATCGATCTCAAGCGCACAGAAGTATACAGAAGTATCATTAAAAAGGTTTGTGAGTCATACAAATAATTTTAATTAAATATTAAAAAATCATATATTTGGCCGAAATATCGATCTCAAGCGCACAGAAGTATACAGAAGTATCATTAAAAAGGTTTGTGAGTCATACAAATAATTTTAATTAAATATTAAAAAATCATATATTTGGCCGAAATATCGATCTCAAGCGCACAGAAGTATACAGAAGTATCATTAAAAAGGTTTGTGAGTCATACAAATAATTTTAATTAAATATTAAAAAATCATATATTTGGCCGAAATATCGATCTCAAGCGCACAGAAGTATACAGAAGTATCATTAAAAAGGTTTGTGAGTCATACAAATAATTTTAATTAAATATTAAAAAATCATATATTTGGCCGAAATATCGATCTCAAGCGCACAGAAGTATACAGAAGTATCATTAAAAAGGTTTGTGAGTCATACAAATAATTTTAATTAAATATTAAAAAATCATATATTTGGCCGAAATATCGATCTCAAGCGCTGCTGTGGAAGTACCGTCAAGTACGATCGATGTACTATCTAGTATTTCAATACTCATGGTTCATTTTCGGGTAATTATTGTAACGTCCGGATCTATTTTAGAACATTAACAATATATTATTATAGACCGGGAGGCCGACTTGTCTGATTTCAGACATCACTAGATATTATATCCCTATGTTACTAGATGTAAGTACGTGCGCATATGCATATTCGCGAGCGTTAAAACATTATAATTAAAATGCCGAATGCTGCGTGCTGCTGGAGAGTCTCGAAATCGACGGATCTCGGATCGACCCAAAGAAACCGCTATCGCTCAGTGCGATAAGCCAACATAAACAGGAGCATGAAAGCTGAATCCTAAACACCACTCAGGACACCGACGCGGTGACATCATGCAAAGGAATGAATCTCTTCCCTCGCCATAACTCCATGGACCAATCGGAGAACGACTCTCAGCGACAAAGCGACGTATAAAAGCGCGCGCATTTGTAGAGAAGGCAATATATATAATTATTTTCTTCTCATAGTTAGTCTCTGGTAGCTTC